AGTGGTCAATCCATATGTCCCTGTCTAAACAGGGATAAACTGATGTGCATCATTAACCCACCATGATTGATGTCAATACCATCAACCAAAGCGTTCCTGAGAAATGGTTGATATTCAAATGTTTTTCGGGAGGGGGGGCAACAATGGCTACCAGTCAGTCCTGGCATGTCAAGGAAAAACGTTTGACAGAACCCAAAAATACAGGTCCTGATAGGGATTAAACAAAAAAAAATATCTGGTCAATAGTTTTCCAAAATTGATGTGTACATGGTATTTCGAAATTAAAACTGCTTTTATTTTGGATAGACAAAATTAAACTTGCCACCAGTCTGCCAATTGGAAAGACAGACAGACAATCCAATCCATTGGCAGTTGAGGGCTAATGATCTATCTATACACGGTGATAGCACTAAGAAAGAAGTACCGGTACATAGAACAAGCAGCCTGTCGGCTGAGATAGCTCCGCTGTTAGCAATGCACATTTCAATTAAAGAACAGAAGATATCATTAGAAAATGAACAAATCTGAGAGAGGTCCACATGTAGTACCTATATATGTAATATCAAAGCAATTGCACTTGCGGTTTTTAACAAGAAGTTGAAAATATCACTTTTTACCAAAAATTACAAAAATATTCACCAAAATTAGAGAATTGAAGATATTACAAAATGAACAAATCTGAGAGGTTCACATGTAGTACCTATATATGTAATATATCAAAGCAATTGGACTTGCGGTTTTCAACAAGAAGTCGAAAATATCACTTTTTACCAAAAATTACAAGAATATTCATCAAAATTAGAGAATTAAAGATATCATCATGAAATGAACAAATCTGAGAGAGGTCTACCCAAGGTACATATACACAAAGTATAAAAGCATTCAGGCTTGTAGTTTTCAAGAAGAAGTCAAATCAAAGAAAGCTTAGAAAGAACTCCCGTGTGCTGAGAGTATTGAAGAAACATTAAAATTAATTCAAAATTACTTGTACATGAGATATTGATGGAAAAGCTGAAAACTAATTATGTAAATCAGGTAACTAATATGAACAGAACGGAACAAAAAAATTATGAATTATTATGCTAATTAGAGAATTAATATTAATCAAAATTAATCAGGCCTGTCTATTGTCCTAGAGCATTTATGTACCAAATTTTATTCAAATGTGATGATCAGTAATTGAGATATCAGTGTTAATTATGTTAATTAGGTGATTAATAAGCATAAATATTTACCAAAAACTAATTAGTTTCTGCATAGTTCTCTTTAAAAGTTTCATTAAAATCCAATTTGTGGTTTTTTATATATCAGTGGAACATTATGCAAATTAGGTAATTAATATCCAATTAAAACTAATCAGGTGTCTGCATAATCCTGAAGATCCATGTAGCAAGTCTCATTGAAATATGATGATTACTACTTGATATATTAAAAGCTGAAAATTAATTAATTATGCAAATTAGGTAATTAATATGTACTGATATTACCCTAAAAACTATCAGGTCTGTGCAGTGTCCTATGACATCTATGTACCAAATTTCATTGAAATGTGATGATTACTACTTGAAATATCAAAAGCTGAAAATTAATTATGCAAATTAGGTAATTAATATGTACTCATATTACCCTAAAAACTATCAGGTCTGTGCAGTGTCCTATGACATCTATGTACCAAGTGTCAATGAAATGTGATGATTACTCCTGGAAATATCAAAAGCTGAAAATTAATTAATTATGCAAATTAGGTAATTAATATATACTGATATTACCCTCAAAACTATCAGGTTTGTGCAGTGTCCTATGACATCTATGTACCAAGTTTTATTGAAATGTGATGATTAGTACTTGAGATATCAGTGGAAAAGCCGAAAATTGATTATCATTATGCAAATTAGGTAATTAATATTGCACAGATTTTTACCCAAAATCAAATCTGCGCATTAGTTTGGAGCATCTGTGTGCCAAGTTTCATCAAAATCCAATGAGTGGTTCTTTAGATATCAGTGGAACAGCCATGGAACAGCTAAAAATCAGCTAATTATCATGCAAATCAGGTAATTAATATGCATGGATTTTTACAAAAACCTGATCAAATTTGCGCATTGGCCCAGAGCATCTATGCACCAAGTTTCATCAAAAACTGATGTATGGTTCTTGAGATATCAGTGGAACACACGAACACACATACAGACAGACACACTAACTGCAAAGACTTCCTTTTTGTGCTTCACACACGGGAGTGAAAAGTAAAACATTGACACGGACGACGACGAACGACGGACAATCACTCATGTGATAAGCTCCGCTCGACAAAGTCGACAGTGGAGTGAAAAACAACAGATATCCATGAAAAGGTCAATCTAAGTTTATTTTAAAATCGGATTTACAAAGCAAACACAAAAAAATTGTAGCAATATCACCAAAGATATTTACAAATCTTCATTACTGCTCATATTAATGGATGATATCTAAAATCTGAAAATGACAAACTAATAATACACGATACTTATTACATAATGTATTGCTTTAGAATGTGCTGCAAGGTGGTTCTTCTCTCCCGAATTTAATGGAACAGGTGATCTCGCGCAAGACAATTTATTATGAAGCATTGGAAGCTTGCCAATGGAAAAGTTCACTTCTTGTATTTACAAAATATTTGGTGTGATATAATACTAGCAAGAGAAAGACAATTGTACAGGTCAACCAAGACTTGATTCCTTTCCAGACACCAGCAGGCAAGGTCAATTATTTTTTTGCAAAACACATCTTCAAAGATGTTCACTCTGAACATGGATATGCCTTGTCTGATTTTGATTCAAAGCGATCCTGATAAGTTTCTAAACAGATCTGGGAGGAGGGGGTCTGACAGGTTTCGAAGCAAATCTGGGTGGTATGACAACCGAGTGAAAGGCAGTTTTACAATTTTTCTTGTTCAGTCACCACTGTCTTAGTGCACAAGGACAACAGAGCCTTTGCATGGTGCATCACAAGCACTCCAATATGGATGCCAAATATCTTGGCAATTACGGTTGCAATACCAAACATGCAAAGGGTCCATAGAGAAAGTCTCTTAGAACATCGCATGAAATGACACAAAAAAGCTTGGCATGTATGTACATCATGAAAAATACAATAATATTACAAATTTTTCCAGTATGTAACAGTAGTAGTCTAATTTCTGTAATAAAGCATTCTTGAATTTCAAAACGTGAAATAAGTTGCATAATGGAATTTGTTTTATATATGAAAAGAATTAAAAAGACTACCTCAAAATAAAGATATTCTGTTCAAGTGGCAAGGATAAAATAAATGACAATGTTATTCATGCAGAAGTACTCTTTCAAAATGATAATTTTTCTCGCACAGAGGCTGAGGTACATATTTTTGTTGCTGATTTCACACTCCTGCTGAAATGTAAAACATACTGTACTTTTTTTCTTCTATCTTCCATTGTTCACTGCTTTGTTATATGTATATTTTTTTTTTAATAATTCAGGTTTATTTTGTGAAAGGCAAACATGGACTTTGGCATTTAATGGGTTATATTCATGAATGAATAAATAAATAAAAGCTGTGACCTATCTAACAAAATGTACCGGTACTGTAAAATACTTAATTTTTGATGTTTTCGCTAAAAGGATGATTCAATGAATATAAAATCCAGCAAAAACACTTTTTTTCTGTATTTTACATACAACTCATCAAAAAGTGAACAACTCCATACAAAACATCCATAAAATTTACTTTTCTTGAAATTAATTTCAGCTAAAATAAAGTATTTTACAGTACCAAGATATCTAGCACATTTAAAGCCAATGCCACTGTGTACATATTTATAATACCACAAACAATCAAATTTCAAAAGGATGACTTAAGACCACAGTAAACCACCTTAATATCATGAAATTTAAAAAGATCAGGTGATGAAAACTTGTTTGTTTTACAGTAATGGCACACTTTTATCGAGCAGTGGTCAACTCCACGAGAATTTTACGTATCAATAAAAAAAACATTTATGCAAGTAGTAGCATGAAACCGACAATTGTCAAATTCAGTAGTTTTTAATGATAGACATAATCTGCTAAACCAAGTAATGCCAAGTAATGCCAAAACCGAAATCTTCACCTGAATGGTGGATTCAAAAAGAATTTGGTGAATTTCAAATTAGAATAATTAGTATTCGTGTGCTAAACATGTTGGAAGCCAATACTTTTTATTTTAATACTGTCAACAATTAAGCTGAATGCTGGCATTACATTTGTGACAGCTATACTTTTATGCCTTGTGGTAGAGTATAACAAGCCACCTGAGAAAAGGAAAATATTACTGTCTTTCTTAATAGATATAAAAACACTAACAGGTTTGAGCAATGTGCTATGTGACTAACAAAATCTAATTTAAATGACAAATAAAAAATTTCAGTATTTTCTGGGCATTATGCAAATTAATTCTTTTTTGTAAAAAACAACAAATAAATGACTGACTGACTGCTAGTATGAATGAACCCTGAATAGCGGTCATTTCGAAGATTAAGAGGGGCAATAGGAGTCAACAAATAATGAAAGAGGATACATGCAATATACTGGGTAGGAAGAACATGCAGGTCAAAATGACGAGGGAGTCAGTTGAAATCTGGAAAATAATTATGAATATAATGATCTTTTTCACACAAGAGAACAAAAATAAATGCTGTACAAAGTTAGTGCTGAAAACAGTGCACTTTAAGTATTTTATCCCTATGATGGACAAATCTACAAGTCATATATATATATATATCATATCTATATATAACACATTTCAAAACTCTCGAAGCATAAACATGGAAAACGTGATGAAATCTGATGAAACATAGATAAAATTATTGCTAGTCCCAAGTCTAGCCAAATAATGTGTACCAAGTAAAAAAAAAAAATTGTTCATCTTAACAAATACATGCACACTCACTCACACAGGATTGTTTTGGTTGCATCCACAGTATCATAAAATAGTGGTCACTTTTATTAAGCTGTGCTCAAGGGATTTGAAATGTCATTGGTTTGCATTGTCATAAATAGTGTCTGAAAACCAACAACTTGTCTTTGCAGCGCTGAGAAACAAAAATAAATACAGAAATTTATTCACAAGTTCATCATCGTCTGTCTAAGTCGGCAGCAAAGATATTTTCTGCTCAACAACAAAGACAATTTCAAACACAACAATTTAATCGATTCTATTATGCGTCAGTCAAACTAGCATTCATCAAGTTACAAATATATTACAGAAACAAAAATAAATGGTAAAAAAAGTTAACTTTGATTTTAAAATACCAGCAACAGCTGCAAAGACAATACTGACATAGTTCAAAAATCAACCAGTTTTAACTACAGTCGATGTCAACGATATTTTTTGGAGGTTCACAGAATCTGTACACCAATCTTTGTCCATCAACTTTTGAAAGGATTCCTCTCTGGTAGTAATACCTAGAAACAAACAAATCAAATTCTATCTTGAGTTATTGGATTCCACATTATAGACATAAAAACACTATCAATATTGATGAATGGAGAAGCAGGCCTTGCACTTTGATCTTAAAGGAGCTTATTCCAAAAATTTCTACAAATACCTTACACTGGTCATAAGGGTAAAAACGTTCAAGCCAAATTAAGATTATAAGACACGTTAGTTATACATATATACCGTAAAATACCTCATATAAGCGCCACTTTGATACATTTTCATTTCTGTCTGGCGCTAATTTGAGTCACATTTTGGCAACTTTGTTGCAAATGGCGCTTAATTGAGTCAGTAATTTTTTCACACACTCAGAACTACGTAACGCTACCTTACATCCTGTCTATACAATGTACATATTCTGCGTAAAT